CACACGTGCCGTGGCAAATGGTGCATTTTAGGAATTGTTTAGAATGCCCTTTTTGATAATTGAAAAGGGTATTACTTGTTTTCATACTTTCGTTAGTTAAGCTTGTTTTAAACTATAGTTTGAATTCAAACATCTTTTCAAAAAAAATTTATTAGAATTCCACATATTTTAAACTTGATTTTATGCCCTTATGTTATGATAACCTAATATAAGAAATTAATTACTCATAATAGTGTCATGTGTTCATATACTATGTCATGATAATGTTATGGTAGACATTATAGATGGATGTTTCCTTAGTAGTCCTTATCAAGATACTTTACTAGCAACTTCAATATATGATCCCAAAAATGATTTGTTTCCATTAGCCTTTGCAATTATTGGCAGTGAAACTCTTGATGATTAGACCTAGTTTCTAGAAAATATTAAATACATTATTGGTTTGTTGCAAGTAACTATTGTGTCTAATATAAATAATGTTATTATATGCGCTATTAGAGCCATATTTTGTGGTGATAGACATGCATATTTCTATCAAAATGTATAGGAGAATTTTAACTTTGACTTTAACAAAGTCTGTAAGGGAATGGGAAGGAACAATAAGAAAGAGGCACTAAATTTGCTTAATCATATCGCCTATGCAACACATGAGAATGAATTTCGTATAGCCATTGGAAATTTGAAGATGTTCTCTCTACTATTGGCAAGATAGGTTGAAAATCAAGGCAGTGTTGATCTGTGGGCTTATCATTATTCCATTTCGAAGATGAGATAAGATAACAACCAACTTAACTGAATCTTTCAATATATAGATTCTTAATGAGAGGATGCATAATACATGTGCTTACAAAGTGATTGCAAAATTAGGTTACAAAGTTACAAATCCCTAGAGCTATTACACTTGATACATTTCAACATTAAAGATTAATAATATATTTCCCAATTTAAATAGGGAAAGACAGATGCAAAGTCAATACAAATTAGTTGCAAAATTAGATTACAAAGTTGCAAAACCCTAGAGTCTATTCCTGCTAGAAACAAACTAAGTTGTGCTTAAACATATAATAGATTACAAAAAAAAATCAGAAGTACAAGCCATCAAACACTGTAATTACATCATACACACAATATTAAAGTTCATTCAAACTTCTTCCTTGCCCTCTTTAATTAGTTAGCTACTAAAATAGAGGTAAAAACTTGATTTCTCTTGTGATCAATCAGCCACCATACCACATCAATCTTGAACTATCTCAATGGTCCGCATGGTGCAATATTCATATATTTGTTGTTTCTTATTAAATCTCCCTTGTATTGGCTCTTTAAGAAAAGATGACTAATCTTTCTCAATCCTTTTCTTTCAAACCTTCAAATTATTTGGGTTTCATCTGTTCTCCTCTTCTTACCATCCTGTCTTTCTTCACTTTCATTTTTAGGTATAAGTTCTTTTTCTTCCTTACCATCATCATATTGTCCAGCAATATCATCATCTTTTTCAACTCCATCTTCATCTTCTATAGCTCCATCTTTATGTTCAGCTCTATCTCTATCTCCATCTTAATCATCATCTCCATCTCCACCTTTATCTTCCTCCACTTCTTCTTCTTCATTTGGTTACAACTTATGGAAATATGTTTACCATATAAGTTATCATTGCAATGGCTAGTGAAATTTTAGTTCCATAAGTTAGACCTCCATAAAAAATGCCATGAATGCTTTCTTTCTCCAACTTCACCCACTGTTGCACTATGTCTTGGTTCCAAAAATATATCACAAGTCTTCCACCATCTACTAATGGTGTTGAACCCAATAGAAAATGGTGCATATGAAATATCTACACAAGGAAGATATTTATGATCCAACTAATAGCAAATAAATTGGAATAAAATATAAAAGTCTTAGAAATGATCTATACTAGTAAAAAAACAAACATCCTCCTACATTCTTCTTCCTCTGTCCTTTCCTTAATGCTACCTTGTAAGAAAAAATCTCTCTAACAAGCTTAGACAATACAAAAAATGACCATTCATATTCTTGAATCTTTTTCTTTCCACTCAAATTTTTAATACTTCTCATTCTAATTGTTGTACTTGTCATAGGACAAAGAAACATTCCAAAAGTGAATAACAAAAATAATATCTCAAAAAAAATATTTTGCCTTGCCTAATGTTAACATATTTTTTAACTCAATGAAAGGTTTGCCAATATAATCCTTCCTCTATACTTTAGATGCTTTGTTATCACCATCAAAAAAACATATTTCCCACCATAAGACACACTTAAGATAGTATGCACGTCCTTCCTATCAACTCTTAATTTCTTCCCTTTAGTTACAAGTGTCAAAGTTGGTACGTCAAAAGCATCCAGTACTTGTTCACATAATTCTCTTAGCAATCTACTGAATCTAAAATCTAATAGAAATTGAAACCCAATTTTCTTCACTTTTGCACGTAACTTCTTATTTTTGCCTATATGTTCTACAACTTCCTTGAACTTATGGGGAGAGCAATGCATATTAAATGGAACTTATGATGGACCCCATGGCACGGATGACATGGCATTAATGACAATGAAACTTGAAGGTAGTAATCAAGAGCATGGTGGCATGAAAGAAGCCCAAGGCAAGGAGCAAGGAGCCCAACATTTTCAACCCAATGTGCCTAAAGACCCTTTACAATATATTAGAGGTTCAATGACAAGAACTCAAACTAAAATCATGAAGCAAGTCTTATTTATTCTTGTGCAAGAAGTCTAAGAGTTTGGAGAGTATTTGGGCGCTCTTCTCAAGCCTAAAGGAGGGCCTCTAGGTGTGTATAATGTGCTTAAGATTTAAACTTAGGAAGTGTCAAGCCCAAGAATTGCAAATCCTAACCCAATACAAGGAAGATTATAAGTGGAGCCTCTTGCAAGCAAGGAGGCATGAAAACCTAGTGAAGAAGTCAAGGGTGGTGTGATTTTGAATCCTTTATGATCTCTTGATTGTCTCCTTAATTGTTCCTATTTTAGTTATCCTTTGACTTGACTCCCTTTCTTAAAGAGCAAGACTAGTTATAGTTTCATATTTTGAGTCTAGTCAAAGATTAGGATTAATTATTTTTAAGTTTTGTAATCCCATAATTTTAGGATCACATCTCCTAAATTATGAGACTAAATATTTATTTTATATTATGTTCTTCCTTCTTTTAGTATTAGAAAATTAGAGTTTTAATTTTAAAAAATAGTCTTCTTTATAAGCCTATATATATATTACGCATGCTCTCTTTTGTAAACGGAAGAAAAGTTAGATGAAATTATTCATTTTAGAGTTTATAACTCGTATGAGCCTTAGTGTTTTGTGGTAACATCCCGTGTGAGAACCACACGTGATCAAGAGCGCGATCAACTTTTGTGGTGTCTTTAAAAGTTGAGATTCATAAAGGCACCATTCTAGAGGATCTTATCCTTGATCATTATCTCATTATTTATTTCATTTCTTTTTTTATTTTCATCATAAATTTCATCCCTTTCTTTTTGTTCTTGTATTTTTGTTATGTTTCAGAATTCTATCCCTAAGCTAGCATAACTCTGCTTTCGAGTCCCCTATCAACTTGTATACCAAGAGGAAAAATATAATATAGTAAAATGTGCAACAATTATATTCAAAAGACTCATTATTTTAAATTAAATACATGTGAGTTATACCAATGAAAAAGATGATGATTTTTTCCTCCTTCATCCAATAAAGCCATCTTTGTATATATTTCTTGTTGAACATTTGATAATTTACTCCAAATTTCTTTTATTAAATCATTAGCTTCTACAACACCACAGAATTTTCCTTCATTTGTTTTGAAAAAATCTCTTGAACTTACCATACCTAGACTTTTTCTTTTTTTAATTCGATTTTCTTCTTCTCCATTATAATGCCAATTTAAATTTTTTCTTATATGCATAGCAAGTTAGACTTGACCATTGCAACACAATCCGATATGAGTTTCATCACAGTCCCGAGCAAACATATCTAATGTTCAAAAAAAAAAAATAATTGGTTGAAAGACTACATAATCACTAAGCTTAAAGGCATTCGAACTAATAGCTATAGTATCAATGCAATCCTCCTCCCTGAAATTTTTTTTTTTTGGGCCAAAATTCTCCTTCCTAACCTTCCCCAGTAATCGGTATATGTATGTACACACACATTATGTGTCCGGACCAAAATTGCATGTTCGCACTTCTAATTTGATTTCAAGGCAGAGATTTTTAGTGTAGTTAATTAAAAGAAATTTAGGACCTAAACAAAAATAGGATATTTGACAATCCACCTTTTTTGTTTTATCTGACCCCAACAAAATTTGTGGTTGGATCTCATCTCTGGGAAGCGATGCGCAGAGTGAAAAACTTGCTCCTGCACCCAAATAAGAAAAGCATACTCAACGTTGCCTAATTTTTGTACCGCATATATATTTAGTTATACAGACATCTCTACGATAAAAGATCCACCACAACCGAAAGAAAACTCACGACAACAATATTCAACTGTACACCATGACCTTTGCTTTTACCAGTTATCGTAGAAGCTGAAGCAATTTGAATGAATTTTCTAACACAAGTAGCCAAGAAGCAACACATGCAAAAAACAATCATAAATTGAATAAGTGTGTTTCATTCTTTTTTTATTATGTCAAAATACCACCTAAGAGCTTGGGGATTTCATTGGCATTTTAAAATTATTGGGAACCTATTTGAATTAATTAATTCCTTTAAAACTTAATTGTCATTTTTCCTTTAAATAATTGGAAAATTCATGTAAATTCAATTATTGATGGGATCTTTGGTGTGGATTGTTCTATATTATCTTCAATTAGTTTTGATTTCTCCAACATTTTTTAAAAATAATTCTGAGTCAAAAATCAATTTCTTTATGTAACTATATTTAATTCTGAGATAATTCATTCTTTTACATTATATCATTCTGAAGAACATTTGAACATGCCTATATTAGAACTGAATTCAGACGCATGGCATTGAAAACGAAGCAGCCTCTTTTCCATCATCCAATTCCAAGTCTGGCCCTGAATTTTAATATCAACTTATAGAGGAAAATTTGAGGCAAGATTCCCTCCAAGTGACTTCAATTTCTCATATGTATAAAAATCAGTAAAAGGATAGAATCAAATATAAAACATTATTTTGAGCTAAAAACAATAATATGCTGCTCTAGAAAGTCGATTTCTCAGAAGAAAGCCATTCTTGAGCTGCCACTAAGTCAGGAAGCACAATGGCCCCAGATTTTCTCCAATTCTCAGCATCTGGAGTCTTAAATCTGTCCAATAACAGAGCATGCATGCCTACGCTCTTTGCTGGCTCATAGTCTTTGCGCATGCTATCTCCAATGTGAAGAGCTTCTTGTGGGGCAATATTTCCAGCCCTCTCAAGGGCAATCTCATAAATTCTGGGATTTGGCTTCTCAACTCCTTCAAGACCAGAAAACACACCAAAGTCCCACTCACTTCCCTGCATTTCTCAAACATTACACAAGCTCTATCATCCAAAATTTCTAATCTAGATCCTCTGCATTCATAAAAACTAAATATCGGGGTCATGATTTGCATGTAGTCTGAAACCATCCACAACGTTTATGGATTATAAATGGCATAACTTTCTAAGGATTTTATTGTGTGTGTGTGTGTGTGTGTGTGTGTGACTATATCCAGTGCTATCAACTTTTGATCTGGATCTTTTACTATCAGAAACATGATTGCATACAGAGCATTTCCCATTGTACTAATAAAAAATTTACCCCAGAAAAAAAAAATTGTTGGACGATAGTTTTCCAGGAAGAGATGAGACTGGTTGATATCAGATCAAATGAGATGATTCAAAATAGATGTGTGAGGCCAAAGCGAGAGATAATAATGATAGGTAGATTACCTCATTTAAACCCAAGGAAGGAAGTATGACATCTTGATACCGATACTCTGCATTGCTCACAATGCCAACTTTAAGGCCCTTTGAACGGACCCATCTCAGGAATGGTTGGGAGTCTGGAAACACGCTGTAAGGAGCTGCAGAACCAAAGGAAGCATATATGCGTCTGAATATCTTCTCAAATGTCTCTTCATCGTATTCATATCCAGCCTGCCAGACAAGCCAGATTTCTCTGTCAACAACAATAACAGGTTTTATCCCACATAGTGAGACTACATAAATTGCACAATACCATTGTCCTCTATCATTTAACCAAGCTTTTATTGTAACTCTAACTCAGTTATCACAAAAGACAGGTGGGGATATACATTCTCGCATATAAGTGACAAGGATTTTCCCCCAAGTTTTACTTTTATTATTTTCAAAACCTACAGACCTCCCTTAAAAACAAAAGCTAACTTGTGCGGACTTTTTTGAGTCTTACTAAAATTATACAAATCTCACTTCTACTTTTAAAATCTACAGAAACCTTTATTAAAAACAAAAAGTAAATTACAGAAACTTCTTTAGAATTTTGTTGAAATTACACAAATCTCTTTCTATTTTCAAGGGTGTTTTTGAATATTTTGAAAATGGGGGGAAAAAAAAGCATACACAAATTCAACAAAATTTATGAAAAACCTATGTAATTTGTTCTCTGTTACAAGGGATGTGGCTCTGATTTTGACAAAACCCAATAGACATTCATATTGGTTTTAAAAATAGAAGAAAAGATAGCAATTTCAGCAAAAGTCAATAAAACATTACATAATTTACTGCAACTGCTAATATTTTTCACTGTGGAGTAATCTCAAGAGTCAAATTAGAATCTAACTAAATATGTTAGCGTCATCATGCAGACATGCACCATGTTCAAATGAACAAATTAGCTATCATGTTAAGAAATAGTACCCACAACTGCAATGGTTTTGTCAGATATCTTACCCTGAGAAAGGAATCTCGCACGCATGTTTTCCACCATACAATGTTAGCCATTTTGGCATGAAACCCAAAACACGGATACTTTTTTGCCATGTCTTTGTATGCAAGTTTAAAGCCCTCATGCACGCGTTTGTAGTCTGGGCAAGGTAAGCCAACAGATTTGGCCGCCATGCAATAATAGTCACCAAGCTCCCCTTTGTAAGCCATTAGTGTACCAGTAACATCCACAGTAATGCAGCGTAGTCTCGACAAGATTGACATGGTGGCACAAATTATGAAGTATAAGCTCTTGATATCTGAGATACTGGTTGGAAGAACTTCCACTAACCTAGCATATAATTTTGAGGCACCAACTGATGAAGTAAATTACCGAACTCCTTCAGTGTTTTAAGAAAGTCCTGCGCGCGTGATTCCAAAATCAACTTGTCAGTTTCGAGAAGGGAAAATTGGAATAAGGCTTACATGATAAATTATTTTTTGTATGCTGATAGACTATAAGCAATAGATAAGGGTATGTTTTCTTTACATTAGTGATTTACTTTTTTTAACGGCATTACTGAAGAAACAGCAAAAACTTTTGCTGCAAAAATACAAATTTGAGGCTTGACCAGCGTCTAACATTAAATATGATTGATATTTCAGACAAATACAGGAAGAAAAGTAAAAGAAAGAGATTCTATAGATCAAAGTTCAAGTGATAATCTGTGAGATGCAGTGTATATACTAGTATTTAAGTTCCACACAAAGTTTCAAACAACCATGAAGATTGATGAATTGCACTGATGTCCTCAAAGCAGCTTTACTCTACGTAAGCACAAGGAAATTAATTATATCCCCGTGAACACACTCATGAAGCCAGAATTGTAATGTAAGTTCAGAAAAAGAGAAACCAAAAAAATAAAAAGTAATGCGCGCTTGCATCCATCTTGCATGAAAAGAACATCGACCTTAAAACACTCTTGGACAGGAGCCTTGACAATGCTGTAATATAAATTAATACCATATATTTGTATTTGTCCTAACAAACATCATGGCTTAATGGATAAATTTGGATCTTCTCAAATGTTCCATACATGGTTTATTCAAGGAGTTTCTCTCTCACATGCCAGAGAGATTGGACTTGGATGCCTATGTCACAGTTTGAGCCCAAAGTATTTAGCTGTCTGGCTATCACATTATACTTTTCACATGAAGACAACCTTGGTTTGAATGACTCTCTTAGTACGTACACAGCCACAACAACAACAAGAAGAAGCTTCTCACGGGGTGGTGTCTCTTATTACATCCATTGATATTGTTTGCCTCTTAACCAAGTGATTTCTAGAATATAACTCCTTTCTACTCTCTATTACTTTCAAGAATATACACTGACCTTCATGAAAACACAATGAAGGGAAAAAAAAGGGTCACAATATCTGAACCATATTAGATGAAAATTAAGTACCTTTCACAGCATTAACATACGAAATATCAAAGGATCAATCTCCCATTCATTCTTACAATCCGTCCATTTTTTTGTTGGATTTACCTTTTAATCATCTATAAAACTAGTAACAAAAGACAAAATTCATTGTGAAGCAGAACACCTTCATAGACATGTCGCAGGGCACAAGAGCCTCTATATGCACCATCACAAAGCAGATATTACCGACGACCTATGCATCTATGCTTCTCCAGAAAATGTATTAGGCCAACAAGAAGAAGAAGAAGAAGCATTGTCCGCTAGAGGAGATCGGCTATGAAATGTAGAAGGCCAATGCAAACAAAGATGCTCTAAAAATTGTTTGGAAGAGAATAACCTGAACTAAGTCCAAGCAACCTTATAGGCTGGCTGAGATTGCAAGCAACGCCATGCTGGTTCTCAGACGAAGAAACCGGTTGCTTGTCTCTCTCAAACAATTAAAGAAAATTAAAAGAAAGAAAATGATCAGAAGGGAAATGGAGAGATACAAACCCATCCAATTCCTAATAACCAAGAAGGTGTATCTATGCAATTGACCCACCTATCCTGTAGCCTTCTGGATGGCTAATATACATCTTAGGGACGTTCCCACTTGAATCTATGGACTCACATTTGAAAATATGCATCTTTAATGGCTGTGGACCAACGGTTTTACCAGGACTAGGAACATGGAGAGAATATATACTTTGATCCCCAGGCGAGGGACCAAGCTCGATTTAAGGCCCTCAGAAAAAACAGCTACTTTGAATAACTAAAGACCTCAAAAAGAAAATTACTTTTAAATAACAAAAGGGAATTACGTTAATTTGACTTGGGCAAACAATGTAGCTAGTCATCAGCAAGCATCATGTATCATCTCCCACAAAATGCTTAAGAAATAGAACAAAAAAAGAAAAACTGAATGTCCGATTAAAGAGGAAGAAAACCACTGTTGAAGGAGCAGAAACGAAGACGAAAACGATTCGGACAAATCGAAAGAGAAAGAAATATAAACAAGCTTGTGATCAACAAAATTGTTTCGCCCCATTTCTGAAATGAGCCAAAAATCAGACGGGATAATTTTGATCATACCAATGGTTTAGCTGATGAAAAAGAAGAATCAAAGCAGGTTTGGCCGAATCCCAATTCCGAATAGCTATGGAATAACTAGTTTCAGCTACACAACAACCATGGAAGAATCCAAAAACGAGAAGCACATTTTTATACGAGAAAGAGTGTGTGTGGAAGAGAGAAGCTTTCCTACTCTTCAAATATGGAAGTGGAAAGCAGAGCAGTAGGAAATATAGAAGTTATAGGAGACAGCGTCCCTTGTATTTGCATTTACCGCTCTCCGATCTCCATTGGGGTCTTGGATTTATTTCGTTCGACCCCTCATGCTATTCATAATTTGCGTGTATGCCCCCAACGGCAACAACCACTCCTTGCCAGTATTATTATTATCGAGAATTACCGTTAGGTCTCATATAAAAAAATTAATTATTATAAAATTTATTAATAATTGAATTAAACTGTATTGACAACATAATTAGTTGTCAATCAGTTATCAATAAACCTTATAATAATTAATTTTTTTATATAAAACTTCAATATAATTGTCCCTTATTATTACTGTCATATTTACAAGCATATTCTAACATGTTTTATTGAATTAAGAAAATTAAAATTAATCATTTTTTAAATAATTAACAAATTTTAAAATTTTTTTATCAAATATACCCACTATGTCTTTCATATAAAATAAAATTAATTAACTTTATGCTTATAACTTTGAAATGGAAAAAAAAATACAACCTTCTAATTTTGCCCTTCTTTACAGTTATTTTAAAAAAAATTATTGTTTAGAAATTTAAATGAAAATATATAAAAAAGGAATAAAATTAAAAAATATTAATCACTCTAACTTTTATATTAAGAACTAAAACAAGTTTTTAAATTTTTTCTTATATTAAAAACCAAGTGAAGTAAAAAAAAGAAATAGGTGATAAAAACATAAAAACAGGACTTGTAAAAAAATAAAAAAAAATTATCACTCCCTCTGTGTAAAAATATAAGGTATTTTTAATTGAATATTATCTCTTAATAAAATAGTTATCTACTTTCAAACTAACCTTATCTTTTCATATTTATCCTTATTAAATGCTCTACAATAAATATTAAGTTACTATCAATGAGAGCACTTTTAAAAAAATATAATAATTACATCTCGAAAGAATAAAAAAGTTTTATATTTTTAAACATTCAACTCTTCAAAAAATATTTTATATTTTTTAACAAAAGGAGTATCTCTTTACCTTATTAATGGAATGGGAGGAAGATTAAAATCTATGGATTAGGAATTGGGGAATGACATTTAAAGAGCAAAATATTGAAATAATCATATATAAAAACTAAAAAATATATAATTTTATAAAAATTCATGGCATTTTTAACAAGTTAAATTTTTATTTTTTCTTTTATAAATAGATGGATATCACTTACAAATTAGTGGTTACAAATTTGTAAATCAAGAAATAATATTGAATTAATTCAACTTTTTATCCGCCATTTTCATTCCTCTCAACAATCTCGTCATCATAATAAAAACCTCGTATACGAGCAATAGTAGCAACAACAAAAATTAATCCCCTTAAACAAATTTGGTGTTGAGTTAAGATCGTGACACATATCATATCGAGGGAAAAAAATGAATATAATAATAATAATAACAATAATAATAATTAATAAATGATAGGTTGAACAATAGGTTGACTCAGGCCAAGTTGATTGAACAAATGGCCACCGAAACGTACTTTCAGTCTCAGGTCAATTTTCTATTGCAAGAATCTATTTTATTTAAGAATCAAATCAAATGCTCTTTTCCGGACCAAACGAAAAAATAATAATAATAAACAAAGCAGTTAAAAAAAAAAAAAAGCGTACATGAATAGCACTATTCTGAGTAATAAGTAATTTCAATTTGGATGTAGTTTTATTGGTTCTTAAATTAGTTTTATTTGCATTTATTTTTATAACTGTCAATATCTTTATAAAAATAATTTTAAATAATATTTTATATATGTGAATTGTTTAAAAATAAAGTTAGCTTTTGATATAATCTAATTTTTAATTTTTTTAATTTTTAAGATTTTTTTACTGTTATGTTTAAAACCGTATGTTTTTCCTAAAAGTCACTCCAATTCTTGATTCAATTCTAGTTTCCAGCTTAATAGCGACTCAACTCTGATCCAATTCGATTCAATTATGAAAATGATTTTTTGGTCTAAATTGAATCATTAACAGCTCCACTTGATGGTCTGACCAATCAAATCATCTAATTCAGTTGGGTTTTTAAAATCATTAACTATAGCATGTGCAATTAAAAAGAATAAACATTTCAACTGAATTAATCTTTATTTATATTACTTCCATTCCATACATTACATACTTACACATACTCCCTCTCTTAAAAATGTAAGACATTTTTAATCAAATTTTACCCTCAATAAAGTAGTTATTTGCATTTAAATTAACTTTATTTTCAAATTTATCATTATCTAATAAGGTAACTTATTCTAAAAAATATAAAGTGATCTATTCAGTGAAAGTACTTTTGAAACAAAATGTAATAATTATACCTTAAAAGATTAAAAATATTTTATATTTTTTAATTTTAATAGGGGTACTTTTGAAAAAAAGTAATGATTATACCTTAAAAGGCTAAAAATACTTTACATTTTGTAATATTTAACTCTTCAACAAATACTTTATATTTTTTAACAGAGAGAGTACTTTTTTTTCTTTTCCATTTTTTCCACTATATAAACTCATTTCTATTCCAAATTTTAAGTCACAAATAAAAATATCTAAAGTATTAATTAAATTTTCCTATCTTTTTCATTTATAAATTAATTTGGGAGTCAACTGGATTTGGGTCTAGCAATAGGGGTGATGTGATGAATCAATATTTAAATCTCTACTAAGAAATATGCCTATATCTAATACACGACCATACCTTAAATAGAATTGCTTTCAATTGACAGATACTTAACAATTTAAAAAAATATAATGTGAGAAAAATTAGAAAAGTAATTAATTAATAATCATTTAATTAGGGGGTTATTTTGAAAAATTATTTAAATTTATGAAAAAATGAATATTTATAATGTAAATAATGGGGACTTATATTTAAGGTGGAAGTAATAATAATTAATAGAGTTAGGAGGGTTGAATAGTAAATAAGAAAAGTGGGAGAGGTAGATGAGCAAAAGAAGAAGCGTGCGTGAGAGGAAGAGAAGAGCAGAGTCAGAAAACTGTGGACGGGCGAAGGCAAAGACTGTTTTAGGATTTTACCAAAACCATTCGCCGCCCATGAAAACCATGGATTGGATTTGCTTGGATTCCTCATTTCAAAGTGATTTCATGCTCACACGTGTCACTTACGTTTCCGTTTCTTTTGCGCCAGATCTTCGGAATTTCCGACCTTCTTTATTCAAAAAAAAAAAAAAATCGTTGATTACCTTGACGGCTTGACATTACTCCCCCGACGGCCTTCCCTTCAAAGTTCTAACTGAAAACAGCTATGACCAATAAAATATTGACACATAGGTTTTTTTTTTTTTTATGGGAGATGCTTTTGTTGAAAACATGAGGCGGTATTAAATTTAAGCACATTTTTAATAAAAATTTAAATATTTATTCATTATATTATAAGAGACTGAATTCTTTTACTAGACTCAACTTTTATTAATAATTATGTGTGTTGTTAATTCAATTTGTTGTGAGCCGCTGTTATTTTTATTTTTTTAAGAGTCACATCAAGATCCCTAGATCAAAGAAATTTACATCTAAAACTTAATATATTCTAAATTAATTCTGAAAACTCAAAAATCTTATATGCAAATATATTTTTTTAGTAAAAATACTTATTTGCTCCTTGTTCGAAATTTACATGTTTTTCACATGAATCAATAATGTAATGTCCATATATAATATGGCAAAGTTTATTAATTAACAACATAGTGTCTGTTCATTATACACAATCCACTCACGAAGTTATTTTTTTTAAATGAGGGGAAAATAAGTCTTTTTAATAGAAAACATATTTGCATGTAAGGCCTTTAAATCTACAGAATCAATTCAAAATGTATTGGATATTAGATTTGAATTTCTTTTATATGGGGCCTTAGGTGCATTTCTCCCTTTTTTTTCCTTTCTTTTTATTTTTTTTGGGTACAAGAACCCTTGTTTCTTTGCAAAAAAACAATTAAGAACCACCTAGGGACATTAATCTCAATTGGAGACCATAAAAAATAGAAATCCTAAGTAAGGATCATAATTGGGATCAAAAAATATAGCTAACTTTACATAATTGCCCATTCACTAAACGCTAAAAGATAATAGCAAAATAGCCGATCTCATGTGCTCTCGTGCACAAAAAATGTGGCCGAAAAATTAATGGAGAGGATCATCATTTGGGTTATCATTTTCTTCTCTCTTAGTAATAGGTAATTACATGCATTGTTTCTTTTACATCTTCTCCTTTATTATGCATGCAAGAAAAATCTGTAATTTTCTCTTCTCTATCTTTTACATCTCCTTTGTCATGCACGCATGAAAGAATGTTTATATCTTTGTAAATATCGTCTTACACCGTTTCTCTTTTATAGCTAGGAAAAAAGTAATCTTCTTAATGATTGATATATTTTATATATATATATATATAGACACACTCAATATATGATTCTAAGAACGATATTGCTAAAAAAATTGAGTGAAAAACAATAAAGATGTAACATGGATGTTAAATTTTTTTATTCTATGATGAAAAGTGCATTAATGTTGAAAAATGCAACATGGATGTTGAATTGTTATAGTCATGCTTGGAATTATGGGAAGGACAGTTGTAAAGTAATAAATTTATATGTTACTTCTAGTTGTTCCAAGTTTATTTTTCATATGGCAAGTACTTCAGCAAAAAATATTTTGTTATTTTTACATTGAAGGACATTTTGTAAAAAATTCAAAGGCAAAATAACCTATGAAGGTGGGCGATTAATTTTTAAATTGATCAGAGAAGGCATAAATCA